TGTGAGCCACCCAACATGGGCACTAGAAACCTAACACAGGTCTCTACAAGAGCAGCAAGTGCTCTTAACCACTGAGCCATCTCTCTAGCCCCTCCAGCTTTTAAAGTTTTTTAAAATCATTACTTTTTGTTTGTTTGTTTGTTTTGGTTTTTCAAGACAGGGTTTCTCTGTACTGTTTTGGAGGCTGTCCTGGAACTCGCTCTGTAGATCTGCCTGCCTCTGCCTCTGCCTCCCGGGGGCTGGGATTAAAGGCGTATGCCACAAACGCCCGGCCCAAAAAACATTATTACATTCATTTATGTGTGTGTTTGTGTGTGTGCAGGTACGCACATGCTGCAGCTTATATGTGGAGGTCAGAAAACAACATCAAGAAATCAGTTCTTTCCTTCTACCATGTGGGTCCCAGGTGTAGTAGTATGAATGTAATTGGCCCCCATAATCTCATAGGGGGTGGCACTATTGAGGAGGGGTGGCTTTGTTGGAGTGAGTATGACCTTGTTGGAGGAAGTGTGTCACTCTGGGGGCAGAGGCAGGATACTGCCCAGTGTCTCAGTTGACTTCCTGTTGCCAGCAAGACAGAACTCTCAGCTACTACTCCAGTACCATGTCTGCCTAAGCCGCCATGCTCCCCCATCACAATGATAATGGACTAGACATCTGAAATTGTAAGTGAGCCACCCCAATTAAATGTTTTCTTCATAAGAGTTACTATGGTCACCATATCTCTTCACAGCAAAAGAAACCCTAAGACATCAATCAGGCTTGGTGACAAGTATCTTTGGCCATGAGTTATTTTGCTGGCCTTCTTTTTTGTCTCCTTTTTTTGACTGTAGCTCAGGCTGGCCTTGAATGCCTAATCTTCCTTCATCCATTCTGCTTTATCTATTGTCTTGAAACTGTCATTTGAAATTTTCTTATGGGGCCACTACCCATCTACCTGTTCATGCATTTATTCACTGTATAAAAAAACACTAAGAAACTAATTTGTGCCAGGGTCCATTCAAGTAGTGACACATTCAGATGGGCATGATGATATTAGGCAAGTATTGAGAGTTACTTTGGGTCAGGATCTGTTACTTCACAACCCTAAGAGAAGGGATTTTATAAGTAAGAAGCTGAGGCTGGGGAAGGACAAGTTGTAAACTTTAGCTAGCCAAGTGCAGAGCCTAGGTTTCCATCAGTAGTCAGTCCTATAACCCCAGGCTTCAAAAGGGCCTATGAGCAGGTTTTGCTTTATATGCCAGAGTGGCCTGGAATCCACCTGTCTCCATTGTATAAGTATGCAGCACCAAATCTGGCTCAGTGTGGCCTGTCTTGAGTGACACATGAGCAGGATTTTAATTGGCTGACTGCCTGGAAAGGTATATAGGAAGCCATTTCTCAGTGGCCAGTGTAGCTACAGCAAAGGCCCAAGGGCTGCCTGAGCCCAGCACACTTACTCAAAAACCCTGGGGCTAAATTCATGCCTCTGATCCCAGCACTAGAGAGGTAGAGACCAGCAGATCTCTGGGAATTCGAGGCTAACCTGAACTACATAGTGAACTTCAGGCTAGCCAGAGCTACATGGAATGACCATGTCTCAAAACCAAGGAACCAAACAATTAAACAACAGTAACAAAACCCTGTATAAATGGGGTAGGTCTGGTGAAGACTAATGGCAGCAGCAACTGGATATGGGCTAGGTGACTCCCTTCCTTAGTTCTCACAGTACCACAGAGGTAAAGAGGCTTAGGCATTGCATTCACGCACACTTCAGTTAGCAGCTTCCTCTTCCGGAGCTCATTCCTTTCCTTTTCAGCCAGCTTCTCAGCCTGGCCTGCCTGGACCAGCTGCAACCGCCTCTGTACTTCATCCTCTATACTGTCCACCTGGCATAGGACAAAAGGAATGAGGGATAGTGTCTGCCCCACTAACCCTTCCATCTGCCTCCAGCCTGCCTGGTCATTTACCTACAGGACTTACCACTTGGAACACCCGGGGCCCATCAGCTGTATTCTTGTCCACTCGGATCCACTTGTTGGACATGGCTTTGCTGAAGCCCACCTTGCCACTGGGCAGTCGCTAGGGAAGTGGGATTGTGATGAGTGCTATATGCCAGGGCTACCTGCATTCCATTACCTCCCTGGAACCCAGCCCTGGGCCCTACCATGAGCTCACTCTGCACCAGGCCCTCGAGAGGGATGCTTCTAAACACACGGGCCTCATGGCTGCCCTCCCGGGCAATCTCCTCACCCTCAGTAGTCAGCTCCCAGCACTTGGTGGAACGAAGCTCAGCCTCAATGACCTGCAAGGAAAGAGTGGCACAAGTGTATGTAGGGTTTAAAGCCACCACCACCTACAGCACTGGGACAGAGAGTCAAGGACAGCCTCAGAGCTAGGGAGATGCCTCAGCAGTCAAGAGCATGTGTTGCTCTTACAGCACATTGGGATAATGCTCTTGTACAGATTTGTCACTTGTATTGGTGGCCAGGCAGGAAATATAGGTGGGGCTACCAGACTAGGAGAATGCTGGGAAGAGGAAGGCAGAGACACAGAAGAAGCAAGATGAGAATGCCTTACAGAGAAAAAGTACCAAGCCATGTGGCTAAACACAGGTAAGAATTATGGGTTAATTGTAAGGGCTTGTTAGTAATAAGCCTGATCAATAGGCCAAATAGTTTATAATTAATATAAGCCTCCGTGTTTATTTGGGATTGAACAGCTGCAGGAAACCTCTGTCTACACTACATAGGGTGGCTCATAGCCACCTCTAACTCTAGTTCCAGGGAATCTAACTTCTCCAGCTTCGTGGAGCATCTGCACTCACCTGTACTTACACACACATGCATATAAATAAAATAAAGCCATTAGTGACAGAGCACACCTTTATTCCCAGCATTAGGGAGACAGAGGTAGGTTCATCTCTATAAATTCAAAACCAGCCTGGTCCAAATATTAAGTTCTATACCAGTCAGAGACAAAATGAGACCCAACCTCAAATATAAACAAATCAGGCTGAGTAGTGGTACACTCCTTTAATCCCTGCACTCAGAAGGCAGAGGTAGGTGATCTGTAAGGCCAGCCAGGCTAAACAGAGAAACCCCATCTTGATAAAACAAAACAAAAATAATAAATTAAATTAATTTAGCCTCATAGCTATGTTACAAGTCAACTCAACTATACCATTTTCCATTGGGTGGGGGAAGAGAGAAGAGAGGAGAGAGGGGTGATGTGGGGGGGGTGTTTCATTCAGGATCATGCTTTGACATATATCCCAGGAGAGATTCAAACCTCTGGACCCATGTAATCTTCCTGTCTCATTTTCTCCAGTGTTGGGACTATAGACATATACTAATGTCCCTAGCTGAAACAATTCTTTTCTTTTTTCAGATTCATTCATTCATATTTATTTATTTGTTTGTTTATTTTTGAGGCAGGGTTTCTCTATATTGCTCAAGGTCATCTTCAAACACTTCAGAGATCTACAGAATATGGCATTTAACATGTTTTAATAACATAGTTTTTTTTTTTGTTTTTTTTTGTTTTTTTTGTGTTTTGACAATGAGACATGTCTGCTCCTGGAAGCAGCAACCTATGTTACAGAAGATGATGGGCATCGAAGAAACTCCACATGGAGTTTTAAGTTCTTTGTGGTAAAACTAAGTAACTGGGCAAGAAAAGTACTATCACCTCAACTGCTGAGTTTAAGGCTAGCCTGATTTACATGGTGGGTTATAGGATAGCAGGGCTATATAAAGAGACCCTGTCTGAAAAAAACAAAACAAAAATAAAAACCCACTGGGGCTGGAGCAGTCAGTGCTCTTAACCACTGGGAGGACCCAGGTTCAACTCCCAGCACCCAATGGCAGCTCACAACTGCCTAACTCCAGGATCCACCACCCTCACACAGATGTACATGCAGGCAAAACACAAAAGCACACAAGATAGAAATAAATAATTTTTTAAAGAAATAAAAATCCACAATAAAATAAAATGTGGGCTGGATAGGTGCTTCAGTGGTTGAGAACGATAGCTCTTGCAGAGGAACCAGGTTCAAATCCCAGCACCTCTATGAAGCTCACAACCATTTGTAACTTAGGTTCCAGGGGAATCCAATACCTTCTTCTGGCCTCCTCCTCAAGCAGGGACACACACACAAAAACATAAAACTAATATGGGCCAGGTATTAAAGGCGTGAGCCTTTAATCTCTCAGCCCTCTGGAGGTAAGTGGATCTAAGTTGGAGGCCAGCCTGGTTCACAGAGCAATTTCCAGCAAGGTCTGGAGCTATATATCGGGGTACAGCTTTTGCCTAGGGCACAAGGAGGTCCTAATATGGAGATGGGACGAGGGAACCTACAAGTCTATACAATTCTACCCTGATGGCCACTGCGGCCTGTAATTACGATACCAAGGAATGCCTGGGCACTGATGTCTCGAGGGCCACCCTTTTCTTACACCGGACCTGACTCAGTTATCATTTCCACCGGATCCCGGCTCTATCCCCAGCACTAGGTCAACTGTCACAGCTGGTTCTGCGCCTTCATTCACATCACTCAGGTCATTTGCGCCTCCTCATTAGATTGCAACCCCTTTCCGGGCAGCGATCTCGTCTTGTCGCAGCCCTACATGGGCCCTGCTTTCGCCTTCATCGGCATTGGTTGCTTGAGTAACATACTTCCCACTTGCGCACCGCACGGTGCGCCTCTATCTAATTTCCCCTAACCAGCCAGAATGGGCTCCAGGTGTAAAAGCCAGGCCGGCGGCACGCGTGGAGCTCACCTCACCCAGAGCCTGCAGGCTCTTCACTGCGCCCACCACCACCTGGTGCTCCACGCCCAGCTGCGTAGCCAACTCCGCGCTGTCCAGGCCGCCATCCGCTGCCTCCAGTCGCCGCAACAACAGCTCCAACACAGGATTGTCGGCCATGCCGGCTCTCAGTATGCTTGGGCGTGCAGGCCGCCCGACGGACTGGGGAACCGGAACCGGAACCGCGAGAACGCGTGAGTCGCCATTTTTAATGTGGCGTACAGTGCGATTTGGGGGCTGGCCGTCGCCATCTTAAATGTGGCAATTAAGCCCCAAATGAAACTAGGGGATTCAGGATGCTTTAAGTTGTTTCGCCCCAGCGGCCTTTAGTTAACTAGTGAGGTAAATTTGATGGCATGGAGGTAGTTTTCTTTTGTTTGTTTGTTTTTTAACGTTTGTTTTATATCGTGAGACATGTCTTATCTAGCACAGGCTAGCCTTGAACTCCTCATCTCCCTGTATCTCCCAAGTGCAAGGATTACAGAGAAATACTATAAGGTCTGACTAAAAATAATTCTATCGATCCCGCCCCCCATAATTTTCTTATTTTAAAAAATATTTTTATGTGCATTGGTGTTTCACCATGGGTGTCGGGTCCCCTGGAACTGGAATTGCAGACAGTTGTGAGCAGCCATCTGGGTGCTGGCAATCGAACACAGATCCTCTGGAAGAGACAAAGCACTTGGTGGTGGGCTTCAGGCATGGTCATTCTACTGATTTTTTTGTTGTTGTTGTTTTTAGCTTTATTCATTTTATTTTATGTGTGTTTGCCTGTATATATGTCTGTGCATGATGCCCTCAGAGGTCAAAAGAGTCATTGGATCACCTGGAACTGAAATTATGGATGGTTGTGAACCACCATGTGGATTCTGGGAATTGAACCGTGGTCCTCTACAAGAGGACTTAACAGCTAAGCCACTTTTCCAATTGCTGACTCTGGGGATGTTAACTATTGTTTTACAATGAATGTCCAAGGAAATATGGATAGGGACCATACCCATTTAGGGAAACGGGATTCAACTAGGAACAGTTACAAAGTGTGCTGGCCTGCATGGAATACTTCAGGTTTTTTTTTTTTTTAAGTTGACCCCAAAATTCATAATATAGTTACTATATAAATCTTCTTCCATTTCACAGGAGAAAAAAAAATGAGGCTCAGAGGCAAAAATGACAACCAATAGAGAATTGATCAATACAGCCAGAAACATTATAAACCCTCCAGCTGCCACACTTTCCTGTGCTCTCGGGAGATCAAGACAATAATATCAAATTGATGCTTCTTTAAAACTGTGGGTCCCATCCATATGGGGTCTTGTTACTCAATATAGGGCTTACCAAAAAACTGGCAATAGTAACAATAGGTTTCTGAATGTTCAGTGACGAAGTGAACCCAAGGTGTGTCAGGCGGCACTCGGACATGCTGAACTGTGCTATCACTTCGTCCTTGGTTCTTTCTTTGCTGGCTTATGTTTTTTGACAGGGTCTCAATATGTATGTGTGCATGTGTGAATACAGGCACTTTCATACCATGACACACATGTGGAGGTCAGAGGCCAACTTTTGGGACTCAATTAACTCCTTCTGCCCTGAGTTATAATTTAGTTCCTCAGGCAACAATACTTCTACTCACCAAGCCATCTTACCAGCCCTAGCCTTGGTTCTGAACACAAAACATGCACACTGTGGTGTGAATACTTCATGTCATACCACACAATGCTCAATAGATACTGCATGGTGGTGGCACACGACGTTAGTCCCTGAATTCAGGAGGCAGAGGTAGGTGGATCTCTGTGAGCTTGAAGCCAGTCTGATCTCAGAGTGAATTGTGGGAAAGCCAGGGCTACATAGAGAGGCCTTGTCATGAATAAACAAAATAAAAGGAAAATAAATAAAATCTATTAATGAATAAAAATACTGCTTGAAATTCCAAAACTTGGGGCTGGAGAGATGGCTAAGTGGTTAAGAGCACTGGCTGTTCTTCCAAAGGACCTGGGTTCAAGTTCCAGCACCCACATGGCAGCTTACAATGTTATGTAACTCCAGTTCCAGGGGATCTGACACCTCACACAGACATACATGCAGGCAAAACACCAATACATATAAAATAAAAAAAGTCACTTAAAAAAATACCAAAACTTTCTCATGTTTGAGACTATACTGTTTGTTGTGTTTTCACTATGTGTACAAAGTTTTCTGCTCTGGTGGGAACATAAAGTCTTGACATGCTAAACAGGGGCCTTTAAAAGGTTTTAATTTTTATTATTTCAAATTAATTGTAGGTATGTATGTCTGCATGAGAGTTCAGGTGCTCGAGAAGCCAGAGACATCGGGTCCCAAGAGCTTCAGTTACAGCTGGTTATGAAGTCACCTGATATGGGTGCTGTGAACTCAACACTAGTCCTCTGGAAGAGAAGTAAGTGCTCTTAACCAATGAGCAATCTCTCCACCCTTGTTTTGTTTGTTTGTTTGTTTGTTTACAGGTCTCACAATGTAGACCAGGCTGGTCTGAAACTCACAGAAATCCACCCTACTCTACCAAGTGCTGGTACCAAAGGCATGCACCATACCTTATTTATTTTATTTCTGTGTGTATAGAGAGATGTGCACATGAATGCAGGTGCCTGCCAGGGTAGTGGCATTTGGTCTCCTGGAGCTGGAGTTACAGATAAAGTTGTAAGTTTCTCAATACAGATGCTAGAATCTGAACTTGAGTCCTCTGCAAAAGCAACAAGCTCCCTCTGATTTATTTTTATAAATGTCTTGCCGGGCAGCCAGGTGGATGGTGGCCCACGCCTTTAATCCCAGCACTGGAGAGACAAAGGCAGGCAGATCTCTGTGAGTTCGAGGCTAGTGTGGTCTACAAAGGTAGTTTCAGGACAGGTTCCAAAGCTACACAGAGAAACCCCGTCTCAAAAAACAAAACAATACAAAATAAAACAAACCACTTGCATGCAGTGCCAGGAGATGCCAGAAGAGGACATCAGATCTTCTGGAACTGGCAGTACAGACAGTTGTTAGCCACCATGTGGGTTCTCGGAAACAAACCCAGGTCCTTTGCAAAAACAAGCATTCTGAACTACTGTGCCATCTCCTCAGCTCCAGAAAACAACTTCTCCCTTCCTTCCTTCCTTCCTTCCTTCCTTCCTTCCTTCCTTCCTTCCTTCCTTCCTTCCTTCCTTTTTTCAAGACAGGGTTTCACTGTGTAGCCCTGGCTGTCCTTGAACTCATAAAGATCCACCTGTTTCTGCCTTCCAAGTTCTGGAGTTAAAGACATGGGCCACCACCGCCCTGCAAAAACAACTTTTAAATTTTTCCTATTATTCTCAAGTACATAGGAAGTTAGTGTACCTTCGGTTATATTGCATTAGAAGTCTTGATTTTAAAAATTGCTCTTTGGGGGCTGGATAGATGGGTGAGAGAGTAAGATCATTGGATGTTTTTCCAGAGGGCCCAGGTTTAGTTCCCAGCACCCACATGGTGGCTCACAACCATCTGTAACTCCAGGTCATAGGGATCAGGTGCCCTCAGAGGTCAGAAGAAGGTACTGGATCCTATATAGCCAGAGATATATATTGAGACCTTGTGCTCAGAGATGGAGTACACACTGCTTTATAAGAGCTCTGGGAACACCTCCTCATTTACAATTACCTAGCATATAGAGTTCACAAAGCTCTCAAAGCCTTAGACAACCACCATGCCCATTTTTATGTGCTTACATCTAACCATAATGGAGACCCTTTGTGCTGAGCACAAAAATCAACCTAATTAAGATTGATTACAACAGGAAACAAGGTAAAAGGGTAAGATTCCGTAGCAGGCTTTCTTGAACCACTAGCCCCCAAATCATGACACAGAGACTTATTATTAATTATGAAAGTTCTGCCTTAGCTTAGGCTTGTTTTGTTGGTTTGTTTGTTTTGTTTTTGTTTTTTTGAAACATGGTATCTCTGTAGCTTTGGAGCCTGTCCTGGAACTCGCTCTGTAACTATAACTATGTAATCTTCAACTCCATCAAAGACCCTATAAGGATATTATATTACCCAAGTAAACAGGAAGTGCAGTTCAAGCCACTTCCAGAACTATAGAAATGACAAAAACAGCTGGCTGCCTGGACAGTTACCCAGGCAGCCTCTGCAATGTTGGGGCATCCATCTTCAGCCCACAGGGTTAGAATATCTGCCAGACTCTTCTATGAAAAAGGAATTTTTGAAGGACTGTCCCATCTTGTCTTGACAAAGTTAGGCAGTTGCTTTCCTTTGTGTCCTGCATGTCCAGTTTGGATGGCATACATCAGCAGTTGAGGCAAGGGCAGTTTCTTGCCCAAATGGCTAGCTATGAAAGAAAACTCCATATGGAGGTTCTTCAATGCCCATCATCCTTTTGTAAAGTAGATTGGTACTGCCAGGAGCAGACGTGTCTCACTGTCATAAAAAGCTTTAGGTTGTTAAACATCTTAAAGGCCATATTCTGTAGGTCTCTGAAGTATTTGAAGATCATCTATCTAAAGTATATCTGTTTAACCTCGAAAACATACCTAACATGACTACAAGTTTATTACAGATGACTAACTGCTAACCTTAATTATACACTATATTTTAAAATGAGCTGCATAAGCACAATACCCCAAACAAGAATAGAAACATACATACAAAAATAACTTTAAATTTATATCAATGTAGGCAGATTATATACCAACATCCTTATCAATGTAAAATATTTGAGGTTGTTATCTTTTTATCTTATATTCCTATATCACCCCTAAACAATGACAAATATCCATAACCCACCAAATGACCCCAAACTACCCACCCCACCTCTTGGGAATGTGGGCATTGTGTTGTCTAGACTGCTTCCTGCTGCTGCTGGGGGGGCGGTGACACCATCTCCAGGAGACCCCAAGGAAACTGAGATAATGGTCAAGTCCTGGGAAAACAAGTAGTAACATTTATTATTGAGTCTCAGAACTGACCCTGTACAGAGGAATTAGTATATATGTCACCTGTCTTGTAGTTTTTTCTTGTTTTATTTCTTTATGTCTGTAGTGAAGATTTTTCAGGGTATTTCCCCTGATCAAACCTAATCTCAATTAACCTTGAAGGAATCCATGGCCTTTTCCTGTGGAAACACAATCTCCTCCAATGCAATACATTTTCTGAATTCCATTTTAAAGTTAAGACATAGTTAAGGCATGTAGGCTGGTTTAATTCAGCAGTCTCTTTTACAATTCATTGTCTTTTTGCAGCTGGCATTCACTCATGGGCATACAAAAAATTCAAAGTCAACATAACACCATATAGGATCCAGACTCCCTGTCTATTTCCTATCTTTACATGTCTTATTTTTTTTTATATTACTTGACTCTTTCTTTACAGACCTTATTATTTTAAACTGTTTTTTCCTGTGACTGTCTATTCCCATTTTCTTGTCTTTCTTAAGCTTACTCACATTTTTTAACACACTGTAACCTGTTTAGAGGTTTTTTCCCCCATCTGGAACTTTAAAAAAAAAAAAAGATTTTATTTATTTATTATGTATACGACATTCTGCTTCCATGTATATCTGCATACCAGAAGAGGGCACCAGATCTCATAATGGATAGTTGTGCGCCACCATGTGGTTGCTGAGAATTGAACTCAGGACCTCTGGAAGAGCAGTCAGTGCTCTTAACCTCTGAGCCATCTCTCCAGCCCCCTGGACCTTTCTTTTTGTTTGTTTGTTTTTTGTTTTTTGTTTTTTTGAGACAGGGTTTTTTTGTAGCTTTGGAGGCTGTCCTAAAACTAGCTCTTATAGATCAGGCTGGCCTTGAACTCACAGAGATCCACCTGCCTCTGCCTCCCAAGTGCTGGGACTAAAGGTGTGCCCGCCCCCCCCCACCACCTTTATAGTGTGTCTCTAGCCTTTTCTGACAGCATAAACCAAACCTTAAACTGCCTCTGCTGGGACTCTGGTGGCTGGCCCCGCCCCCTCTGCCTGTCCATGAGAGCTGAGCCTTAAGCCTATTTAAGAGTGTAACTACAGCCAGGCGGTGGTGGTTGTCTTGGAACTCACTAAGTGCTAGGAATAAAGGCATCTGCCACCACCACCTGGCTGATAACAATAATTTAAGTGTGGACCATGCCTTGGACTTTTTTCCTAGTGTATGAATGGAACCCAGAACCTCATGCTTTCTAGGCAAGTTATCTATCACTGTAGTGCATCCCCAGTGCTGAGACACTCTAATCAGTAATGTTCATCAGCATTGTTGCTTGAGCCTGTTACACGTCAATTCTAGTACTTCCCTGTTCCAACCTTACAGCAAAGTCCTGCATTCAGGATTCATCCATTTAGGCCCTCTCTCTCCTCAGTTCAAAACAACTTTTTTTTTTTCCCTAAAGCTTATGTTAGTTTTTTTCTTTTATGACAGGCTGTCACTATGTAACCCTGGCTTACCTAGATCACCAGGCTGGCCTGGAGCTTATAGAAATCCACTAGAGCTCCTGCATCCCAGTGCTGTGATTAAAGGTCTGCCACCATACCTGGTTTTTCTTAATTTAAGAAAAATGTTAGTCTAGTTTCTGTGCACCAGAGCACATGTGTGAAGGTCAGAGGACAACTCTGAGGACTCGGGTCTTGCCTTTCACCTTACCTGGAGTCGGCTCTCGTTCTTTTTTTTTGCATGCTAGCTGGTCTGGAGCTTCTGGGTGACTCTCCCGTCCCTACCTTCCGCCCCCCTGCAGTAGTGCAAGCTTGACAGGTGTGTATCACCACATTCAACTTCTTTTTTTGTTTTGTTTTTCGAGACAGGGTTTCTTTGTGTAGCTTTGTAGACCACCAGGCTGGCCTTGAACTCACAGAGATCTGCCTGCCTCTGCCTCTCAAGTGATGGAATTAAAGGTGTGCAGCACCACTGCCTGGCCACATTCAACTTCTTTAAAACGTTTGGTTTCATTTTGTTTATATAGGTATTTTGCTGTGTGTGTCTCTGTACCACTTGCCTGCTTGGTGCTCACAGAAGAGGCTGTCAGATCCCCTAGAACCGGAGTTACAGAGGGTTGTAAGGCTTCATATTGATGCTGGGAATGGAACTGGGGTCATTTGGAAGAGAAGCCAGTGTTCTTAACCACTAAGCCATCTCTATAGCCCCCATTTCTGGTTTCTGGGAATGAACTGGGGGTCCTTAAGCTTTCCTGGTTAGCACTCTTACCTACTGTACGGAAAAGGGGCCAGCCAAAGAAACACACCCTGAGCAGAGCCAAAGAAACACACTTTGGCCCTGCAACCAGAAACAAAGAAATGTACCCTGACCCCAAACCAGTGCCAAAGAAACACACTTTGTCCCTGGAATCAGAGCCAGTGAAAGAAATATACCCTGGCCCTAAAACTAGAGCCAAAAGGCTAAAAAGGACCAGAGGAAGAAACATACTTTGGCCCTGAAACCAGAGCCAAATCTTACCCTAAACCTGTGCAGAAAACTAACCAATCCCTGAGCAGGGGATCTAGCCATCCTGAGCTCAGGGATTGAAATCTGACCAATCCCCACCCTGGAAATCTCCCTGGAAAAACTCGGCCCCCTAAGAAGCCCTATATAAACCCTGTGCCTGTTCAGCTTCTGGCTGTTCCTGCTGCCTGGCTAGCCTCTGCCATTCTGGCAGAGGGCAGCTACTCTCCTGGATTCTTCCCTCCCAATAAATCTCTTGAATAAAGTTTGGATGAGACCTTCTTTTGCTGGGGCCGAGTGGAGCAGGGCTCCACTTTGCCCTCTCCTACCAGAGCAGAGCTGATACACTGGGGAAGCCTTTCCCTGAAGCAACTATGCTTACTGTGACCTGTGGTATTCCTTGGCTCCTGATTGCCAGAATAGGCCCCCTAAGAAGCCCTATATAAACCCTGTGCCTGTTCAGCTTCTGGCTGTTCCTGCTGCCTGGCTAGCCTCTGCCATTCTGGCAGAGGGCAGCTACTCTCCTGGATTCTTCCCTCCCAATAAATATCTTGACTACATTTTGAATGAGACCTTCTTTTGCTGGGGCCGAGTGGAGCAGGGCTCTACTTTGCCCTCTCCCACCAGAGCAGAGCTGATACACTGGGGAAGCCTTTCCCTGAAGCAACTATGCTTACTGTGACCTGTGGTATTCCTTGGCTCCTGATTGCCAGAATATCTTTCCATCCCAGCTATAACACTCAGTATTCTCTGGCTCCCAAGTGCCATAATCCATCCCATCTCTGACCATTCCATCCCATCAGAGTGTCAAAATGCTTATACCTACTGCACCATAACTCTGGTTCCTAATTTTCTTTTTTTGAAGTATTTTCTTGTTTGTTTCACTATGTAGCCCTGGCTGACCTGGAACTCAGAAATCTACCTGCCTCTGTCTCCTGAAATTGTGTGTATGTATGTATGTATGTATGTATGTATGTATGTATGTATGTAGAGGCCAGAACTTTTGATCCCTGCTTCAACCACCTGAGTTTCAACCTGAGTGCAAGGCAATAGGCACACGCCACTACATTTTGTTTATGCAGTGCTAATGATGAACCCCAGGGCTTCATGTATGGTAGGCAAGCACTTTACCTATTGAAATACACCCCCAACTCTATGTAACTTTTATTTTTTGAATGTGTGCATGCATGTAGAGGCCAGAGGTTGACCTCAGCTGTTGCTCCTCAGATACGTCTAACTTTTTGTTTTTGAGACAGCGTCTCACTTTGTAGCTCTGGCTGGTCTTGAACTCAAGAGTCTCCTTGGTCAGCCTCCTAAAAGCTGGGATTACAGATGTGCCTTTGAGGGTAGTATGGGTTACCTTCCAGAGTAAGGAGGTATCTTAACCCCTAGAGCGCATGCACAAATTCCTGGGTTCCATTCCAAGCAACAAGTGTGTTAACCATAAAGCAGGAGGCATCAGGTGTAGGAGTCAGCGGCACAGGACAGGAGGGAGGGTCAATCACAGGTCTGTCAAGATCATTCTGAACTTGGGTGTCCTCCAGAGGGACCAGCAATACTTAGTTATGTACACTGCCTGGGGGATGGGGTGGAGCTCCAACTTCTTTATCTCAGTGTCATTCCTTTCAGAGAAGGAAGCTCTCCGCTTTTGGAAGGATCCCCACGCCCCAGTCCATAGTCTGTCCCAGTGTTCCCATTTCCTCAGTTTGGAAACACCTCCCATCCCCCACCCCCTACAGGTGCTGTCCTTCCTCCTAGCAGCAGGCAGGGAGCTGGCCACAGACACATGACTTGAGTCAGAGAACTCAAGATTCATGGGTCTGGCTTATCGGCCTAGGGCTCTATCACCATAGCCATCTTGTGTCCTTTTTTTCCTCTTCAAACCGTACCCCTAGTCCTCTGCCTATAGCCGTTTAATTGCAAAAGCCAAGTCGTTTGTGGGAGACCACAAAGAAGTGACTCCTTTCATTTCTCAGCTCAGAATAAAAAAAGATAGTAACCGTACCTCTCACCCGAGGAAATACCCTTACGGCCACATCTCTGAGACCTCTGTGTTTCCTGCCCTCAAACCGTGGCTAGCCCTAGAAGGTTTAAAAGCATTTCTGCCAGACAGCTCAGGGTCACCCTTTTGGCCTCGGTTAATTCAGAGAGGCAAAGCAATTTGCATCATGCCACACAGTAATCTGACAGGTTTCTAGGGCACTACGGGACAGAGTAGGAGAAAGCTGACACTTTCTCTACTGGCCTGGACAGCTGTGACACTAGAATGCAGCACAACGCCCTAGCCCTTAATTCTTTACAGGAAAAGCTCGCTCGGGTGGGCGTTCCCTCAGAGCAGGACAGACAGAAAGTGGCGAGGAAGCCTCCCTCCGGCCCTGTGTCCGGAGGGGATGGGAAGTGGGCGAAGCTGAGCCCGGGTGTGGGTCCCTCACGGCTGACACCTGGGCTGGCTCGCGCGGATTCTTTAAACGACTCGAAGCAGAGCCAGGGAGTCGCACTAGCAAGGGCGGGGTTGAGCGGAGGTCCCGTCACGTGACCGTATCTGAGTGGGCTCGCGGCCCCCACCCCACCAGGGGGCGTCCCCCACAACGCGTGGTCGACCCTCATTGGCCCGTGGTGTGACCAATAGAAATCGGCCATCTGGGATCCCAGCGTTCCGAGCCACAGCCTAACGTGCTGAGCCGGCTAGGATGCAATGAGAAGGGACGGCTGTGGGGCTAAACCAGTCAAAAGGGCCGAGGGGCGGGCTCAGCGGCTGTGTCAGGTTGGTGTGAGAGGTGGGTGCATATAAATCGGAGCCGCGGCGGCCGCATCCGTCAGTACCGCAGAGCAGCTGCCTGAGGATCGTTTTAAAGGGCCCGTGCGCCGCCGCCCCCGCGGCCCGCCATGCTCCTCTCCGTGCCGCTCCTGCTCGGCCTCCTCGGCCTGGCCGCCGCGGAACCTGCCGTCTATTTCAAAGAGCAGTTCTTGGACGGAGGTAAGGTCTGGGCGCGCCTCGAGGCCGCCTCAGCGACGGCTGGGCCCCGAGCCCGTGTCTGCTTCGTCGTGTGTAAATGTAATTACGGTTCAGAGGGCCAACACTGTGGCCCCGGGGGACTAGAGCCGCGGGCGGTTCCTGCTGTGCGTCCTTGGGGGACGTGGAAGGCACAGCGGCTTCCCGCGCCCGGAGTTGGGGTTCGCGCAGGGACCTGAAGCGAGGTGTCAGGATCGAGGTTGGGATGGGAATCCCCTCCCCCGCCCCCACCTGGTTGTGACTTCTGACAGACGTTGGGTATGGGGGCGGGGGTCAGCCGGCCAGCTGATCTGACTCTGTGCCCCCCCCACCAGATGACTGGACCAACCGCTGGGTCGAATCCAAACACAAGTCCGATTTTGGCAAATTTGTCCTCAGTTCTGGCAAATTCTACGGGGACCAGGAGAAGGATAAAGGTAAGAGGCAGGGAGTGGGATGTTCAGATTCAGGGCGACTTCCTGGAGGAAGCTGTAGTCAGCACTCAGGACTTGGGCTTTTCCCAGCAACACGGGAGCCAAGGACAGGTGGTGGAAGGAAGGGGAGGTCATCTGTGCCCCTTGAGGGCTAGGGCACGTGGGGTCCACCTGACGACACTCCCATCCCATCACAGGGCTGCAGACAAGCCAGGATGCCCGATTTTACGCGCTGTCCGCTAGATTCGAACCCTTCAGCAACAAGGGCCAGACACTGGTGGTACAGTTCACGGTGAAGCATGAGCAGAACATCGACTGTGGGGGTGGCTATGTGAAGCTGTTTCCGGGTAGTTTGGACCAGAAGGACATGCATGGAGACTCGGAATACAACATCATGTTTGGTGAGGGGGACCCCCAACCAGTGCTGATCTCTGTACAGTGGGCACAGACTGGTCCCTTTATACTCAGAAAGCTGATCTTCGCAACTATAGAAAGCACTTGGATGATGAGGATTTTTGTCCTGAAGGGACAACTAAAGGGTTTAACTATATGAGCTGTAGGTTTTATATTGTTCATTTGTATGATTGTTTCTAGATGTTTCCTAGTGTTAGAAATTAAGCCAATGACCCAATCTAAATCACAGGAAAACCTTTTGAGTTCATGCATATGTATATGTATGTATGGGCGTGCTGCTGTGAAGGTCAGAGGACAACTTCAGAAGTCTCTTTTGTCATCTAGATTCTGGGATTGAGTTCAGGTTGTCAGGCAGGCTTAGTGGAAAGCACCTGATTTACCGCTGAGCACTTGCCTGCCTCAAAATGGTGATCTTTTTAGATTTGTCCTGAGTGTAAGAATCAGGTCTGTTTGAGCCTAAAGTAGTAGCACACACCTTGAATCCTTGTACTGGGTGCAGTGAAGGCAGGTGCGTCTTTGTGGGTTCCAAGACAGTCAGGGATATGTAAAGAGAACCTGTCTATGTTAGAGACAAAATAGGTGCTATAGAGATGATTCAGTGGTTCCAGAGAACGTCAGGATCCATTATCTTTCTGGGTGTCGATCCAGTGCCCACTGCTAACCTCTGCAGGCTCCTGCATATGCATGATACATGTATGCACACATAAATAAATAAAGTTAGGTCCCTCTTTTACAAAGAGGAAGAGGGATAGAGCCTGCATTTGTTTCTCACATAGGTCCGGACATCTGTGGTCCTGGCACCAAGAAGGTTCATGTCATCTTTAACTACAAGGGCAAGAATGTGCTGATCAACAAGGATATCCGGTGTAAGGTGTGCCTGGGGTAGTTATTTTAAATTGCTATCATGGGAGGCCCAGGCAGTAGCCTGGTGGGAGGGGCTGCTCACCACCTTCCCTCTTCAGGATGATGAATTCACACACCTGTACACGCTGATTGTGCGGCCAGACAACACCTATGAGGTGAAAATTGACAACAGCCAGGTGGAGTCAGGCTCATTGGAGGATGATTGGGACTTTCTGCCACCCAAGAAGATAAAGGACCCTAATGCTGCCAAGCCAGAAGACTGGGATGAACGAGCCAAAATTGATGACCCCACAGATTCTAAACCTGAGGTTTGTGCTGGGACAGTGGCTCCACTGCCATCATAAAGTGGAGTACACTTGGGTCCACTCTGACCTCCATGTGTGTGTACTCCTAGGACTGGGACAAGCCTGAGCACATCCCTGACCCTGATGCTAAGAAGCCTGAGGACTGGGATGAAGAGATGGATGGGGAGTGGGAACCACCGGTAATTCAGAATCCTGAATACAAGGTAAGCTTGCATGGTGGGGTGTGGCTTACTGGTAAGATGCTTCCTGTGTGCTGTAATTAATATTGCATCAGAAACAAAACAAGATGGGCTTTGGGATTCTAGGCAGAGTTGTTTGTACTGAGGAATATGTCCACCTCTACTCATGTGGTTGTCTTCTGCAGGGCGAGTGGAAGCCACGTCAGATTGATAACCCAGATTACAAGGGTACCTGGATACACCCGGAAATTGACAACCCTGAATACTCCCCAGATGCCAACATTTATGCCTATGACAGTTTTGCTGTACTGGGCTTAGATCTCTGGCAGGTAAGGCACAGGAAAGACAAGGATCCCTGCCAGACCTAAGTTGTAGGATCACATTCTCGAAGATCTGGAGGGAAAAGCAGGCATAGACACCAACCTCAAGGTGACCAGATTCCAAAATGGTACATTTTATGAGACATTCCTGTATTATCTCCTTTTTCTTCACTGCACAAAAGAAAGTTTCGGGGGGAGGGTTTCTCTGTGTAACAGCCCTGGCTGTCCTGAAACTCACTCTATAGATCAGGCTGCCCTCTAACTCAGATCCGCCTGTGTCTGCCTCCAGAGTGCTGGGATTAAAGGTGTGCACTACCACCTGGTGAGAAAGTTGGTTTTATTATCAACACATTTTTACTTAGTTTGTATTTATGTGGGTGTACATATGGAGGTCAGAGGAAAACTAAGAAAGACTCGTTTTCTTCGCCATATGTGTCTTAAGAATCAACTCTGGCAGCCGGGCAACGGTGGTGCACGCCTTTAATCCCAGCACTCGGGAGGCAGAGGCAGGCAGATCTCTGAGTTAGAGACCAGCCTGGTCTACAAGAGCTAGTTCCAGGACAGCCTCCAAAGCCAAAGAGAAACCTTGTTTCGAAAAAACCAAAAAAAGAAAAAAAAAATCAACTCTGGCAGCAAGTGTCTTTATTTACAGAGCTGTCTCTCTCTGGTCCAATGAGCACCTTTCTTCAGGGCTACTTGCCATGTGCTGCTGATCCTTTGTTGAAGTACCTGTGCAAAGTTAGCTCAGGTCACCCTATTAGAACTCTGACTGCCCTGGCTACATAATGAAACAGGAATTTAAAAAAACAAAAACAAAAAAAACATTGGTACTGAATTTTTGTCATTGGTGTGTTTTTCTGCCCAGGATGGTTCTTGGCATGTGTTAGGTTGGTACCTGGAAAAAGAAAGTGAGTTCCTATTATAGAGGGAGTTGTATGAAAAGTGAAGTCACTAGGGCAGAGGTTTGAATCCTGAAAGCATGGCTTTTGAATGGTGTTACATCTTTTTTTTTTTTCCTTTTAAGAGTTTTGAGGCAGGGTGGTCTTGGTATGTGTCCTTGGCTGTCTTGGAATTCACCATATATCCAGGTCTGGCCTGGGATTCCCTTCTTGCCTTCCCACTGCATCAACATACCTGTCCCTCCCTCCCTTTTTAAAAAAAGTTTTGACAAGAGTTTCACTGTGTAACACTGGCTGGCTTAGAACCCCACAAGTGGTCTGCTTCCTCAGTGCTGGGGTTAAAGGCATGTCCTGCCACCACACCTGCTGCCCTACAGGGTGGAAGTAGAGTCCTGTCCAGAGCCAGGGCTGTCAGAAGTTACTGCTGACCATATGTCTTTCCATTCTTCCCCAGGTCAAGTCTGGCACAATCTTTGACAACTTTCTCATCACCAATGATGAAGCCTATGCAGAGGAGTTTGGCAATGAGACATGGGGTGTCACCAAGGTGAGCTGGGTTCCTGCTTCACTGGGGGTCAACTGGGAGAACAGGCAGGCAGGCAAAAGCCAGGTACTAAAAGGTGTCTGTGCCACAGGCTTCAGAAAAGCAGATGAAGGACAAGCAGGATGAGGAGCAGAGGCTGAAGGAAGAAGAAGAAGACAAGAAGCGTAAAGAGGAGGAAGAGGCTGAGGACAAAGAGGATGAGGATGACAGAGATGAAGATGAAGAAGATGAGGATGAGAAGGAGGAAGATGAGGAGGATACTACCCCTGGCCAGACCAAGGATGAGCTGTAGAGGCCATACCACCTGCCTCCAGGGCTGGACTGAGGCCTGAACACCCCACTGCAGAGCTGGCTGCTCCCAATAATGTCTCTATGAGACTCAGGAACTTTTCAGTTTTTTCCAGGCAGGTTCAGATCTGGGGTGAATTCTGATTTTGTTTCCCTGCCTCCCCCCAACCTCCCCCCTCCCATTTTTTTCTTTTTTTACTGGTGTTTGTCTTAATTCTCCTTTAGCCCTCAACCTCCTGGCTTCTCATTTTGAATCAACATCTTTCCCTATGTCCCTTTTCTCTATCCAACCCCTGGTCACAACCCTCCCAACTTCAGGAACGGGTGTGGAGGAAAAGTCCTAGGCTTGAGATTTCATCTGCTCTCCTTCTTGGATCTCAGAGGAGTGCAGGAGAAGGGGGTGGTGTATCCCTCCCCCAGCACTGAGGAAGAATGGGGGTCTTCTCATCCCCGTTCTCCCTTGCCCCCAGGACTGGGCCACTTGTGGGGCAGCCAGTTCTAGCACAGCTCACACTGAGAGTGTAAGAACTACAAACAAAATTTCTATTAAATTAAGTTTTGTGTCTTCCCTATCGTGTCTCCTTCTCTGGGAGGATTACGTCAGGGAATCAAAGGTGGCCTTTTGAGGTGCTGGTGGCTCATGTTTGAGCTATTGGAGTTGGCGGAGTCCAACAAAGTGACATGGCTGCATATGATATGTATCCTGTAATCTTAAGTAGGAACGCAGCTGTCAGGTTTTGATGCCAGGTCTCCCTGTAGTAATTCCCTTGTCCTGGCAACAGACATGTGATTGACAGCCTGGTGCTGACTACTGGGGCGGATATTTGAACCTTAATCTTAACCATCTATTGTTGGTTTCCTTTCTGAAACTACTACATAAGATAGTTGGGCAAATTCAAACCTCACATTAGTGGAGTAAATGCTGGTAGCTCATTTTATAGTCAAAGAACTAAAGTCAAAGATAGTGAGTGGCTTAACCCAGCGGCCAATATTTCTAGGACTAAGCTGATAGAAAAGGGATTGGTTTAAAGATTGGGTTGTGTTCCGTTGGAGATGGCTTACCTGGCATGCCCTACCACAGGAAAAAAAAGAAAATGGGATTCGGGTGACTGATGGGGTCTCAAGGTTTCCATTTTAAGCTCCACTGAGTAGGTTGGAAGGTGGGCAGGAGGCCTGTGTTATTAGAAGGAAACTGATTCGCCCTTGGCAGAACCTTGCTCAGGTGACCAGAGGGAGGCAGGCCTTTGGCAAGTGCTTTGTCACTGGTGTGGCTAGAAATATGGCAAAGCAAGCTCCAAAGTAGTGAGTATTAAGTGTTGATGCCTATGTTGTATTTACTGAGAACTTTAGCTTCTTAAGTCACCCTCAAGATGCCCCAGCTTCCCAAGTCTGACATTTCATTACCTTTTAGTATGTGGTGGTAACCTAAGGCTTGTAATACCCCTTACCTCCCAGAAAAATAGGTGCAAGCAAGGAAAGTCTATGGGAGGAAGAATGAAGTATTTAATACAAAGGAGCCTTGCACATATTAATACTTTTGAGGTGTTTAATAGTTATTGCAGGACCATGAAGAGGTAGGGGACCCATGAACTAGAAGTCAAAGCTTATTCCAAAAGTGATGATAGTCTTGAAAATGGAGCCACATAAGTTACCATTTTTACCTTTGAGATTTATAGTAACTTCACTTTCTTCTAGGCTTGAGTAATTAACAGTGCTCTGTGGGATTTTTTAAATTTTTGCCATGTCCGAAATAGGTCAATAATCCTATAACAAATACCTTAAAAACTTGGAGGTGGAAGGGGGGTAGCTCAGAAGCCATTTTACAGGCATATGACATCACTATTAGGCATGACATCACCCAGACCCTATGATGTCTGTTCCCACAGCAAAAGCTCAAAGCTGAGTTTGCGCATGTCTAAGGTAAGGAAGCGTTGCCGCGCATGCTCTAGAGGTCGAGGGGGTCACAGGCGGGTCATATACACTGACGATTTGCGCGCGCTTCCCTCTTGTCCCGGAAGTGCTTTCCCTACGGCACAGCTGGGCGCTAAGATGGCGGCGGCGTGAGTTGCATGTTGTACGAGGATCCTGGGGCTGCCGCATTGCTCCGGCCCCGCCATGGCCATCACCGTCACGCTTAAAACGTTGCAGCAGCAGACCTTCAAGATA